CTCTGATGAAAGGTCTGGCTGACCTCCTGCTTCCTGCTCTGCAATTCCCAATAGCCTCCTTATGTTCCAGCAGCCAGGATTGTGCAGTTCCATGGCTGCACACACTTTGAGCCCACCCTGTGCAGCTGGATCCTACTTCATCCACCTTCAGAAGCAGCTCTACATCCTCATTCCCTTCAGATGTTTCCCATCCCACTCTGCTCAGGCCATCTTCCTAATAATCCAGCCTCCCAAAATGAAAATGATGCCCTGTAAGTATAACAGGCTGAACTATTTCTCAGTGCAAGAGATGTGAAACAAACTCTTTCAGCAGGAAAGATAGATTGTTACACACAGCTGGCTTTGAACTGAATTTCACCTCTTCATTTTAGAAAATTGTGGAGAAGTTTCCTTGCATTTGAGAGTAAAGCTGCACTCCTGGCACTGAATTATTGCCAAGGTGCTGCTGCAGTTTCTGATGGAGGAACCCCCCAAGATGCCACAGAAGGGAACAGGAGAAGACATGAACAGTAATACAGGGAAATAATGGAAAGGTCAGAAGAATGAACCTTGGGATGAAAGCTTGGGAGACACCTGAGAAGAGAAAGTACTGTGGAAGAGACTTCACTGCTTGGAGCAGGACATGTCTAAGGGGAAAAAGCAAGCCTCTCAGATCCTGGAAAGAAAAAAGCTGAGTCATCCCCCAGCAATACTGGAAGAGAAATTGCTGAGGTGACAGAGGGAGGCACAAAGCTGCAGCATCTAGGCCCAAGCAGACAGACTTCTCCCAGTCTGCCTGCAGCAGCCTTGAAAACAGCTTTGGCTGACTGGATGTCTACCTGGTAAAGACGTAACTGGCAGTGGCACAGCCACCTAAGCCACAAGACAGCAAAATGCATCCATGCATTCACCTGAGTAAACCAGAGACACCTCTCAGTGTGCAGCTGGGAAACAGCTGGTTTTCTGACTGATGCAATCCAATTTTTACAGGCTTTTATTTCCCCCGAAACCAGTTTAGTCAAGTTTGAGCTAGGAGACAGTCGACTGTGAGCAGAGGAAGAGACGAGAAGGGGCTGACCTGTGAGAGGCCTCCCAGATGAAGCCCTCAGCACCCTGGAAAGACTTTAAAGAGGAGCTATTTTATCGCCTTTTGGTAAATGTGCTCCAGCATGGCAAAGCAGGAGTAAAAGAAGCTGAACTCCCAAACCCATTTGCCTTCCTGACATGTCAGCAACCTTTCCCCACCACTCTCCCCAAGGCCTTTTTAGGCATAGGGTGTCGAGCTTCCCACAATCAAACACAGGGGCCTGCTCAAGTCCTGTGGCTGACACAATATTTGTGCAGCTAATTTACCTTCCACCCAGGCATGTAGTCAGGGTGCTGCTGGCAGGTTGGGCTCACCTGCAAGTCCTGCAGCTGCTGGCTGTGGGGAAGGGTCCTGTCCACCCGGCCACAACACAGGTTAAAAAAAGAAGCCAAGAAAATTGTTGATTATGAACTTCATAAACTATCCAAGATGGAAGCTGAACCTTGCTTAGGCTCTGTCCTAAGCTCACCCCACCCTCCTCTGAGGCTAGGTTATGTTTAGATTATATTACTTAGTACTAAAGTACACCAGCCCAAATAAGACTTCTAAACACATATGCAACTACACTATATGCATACCAAGGTATGTCAATAGGAGATAATTAATTATTTATTTCCTATAACTACATGATTACTGTGAAAATTCACTTTGAATTGATTCTTGTCAGGTAATAACATCCTGCCTCTTCTAGCTCTGCATTTCAAGTGATTCATGGACTGTAAAAATAGAATACTTTCCCCAAAAAGACATACAAATGAAAGTCTGTGTGGACTTCTTGCTGCTGAGTAGTAATTATCTATTCAATTACATGGCTCCATTCTCTGCACTCTTTAATACAGAAAAAAGATGCTTTTCCAGATGAAACAATCCTTAAATGTCTCCAAAACCAGAGCTACTGATTACTGTTTCTCCAGCTGCAGAATGAAAGGTACTGCAATCTGAAAGTAAGTGGTAGAAAATCTTGCTCTACAACAAAGGAATTACAGGAGTTTAAACAAGAGCCATATTTTCTTCCTTTACAGCTTTGTATTTCTCATTTTCTGCCACAAAAAAAAAAGTCCCAATGGACCAGATATGTGTATGGCTTCTTCCTGTTGGTCTAAATAAGGGTTTGCATGTTTGTCCAAGGGCCATAACAGAAGAGATGTTGCTTTCTGTTCTGTAATTTCACTGTAGGCATCATCCAGGTCACAACCAATCTTGCTACACTGGAAAGATACATCCGGTGTCTGTTATTGTTTTTTCATGATGAATTTCAGGAATAAATTAACTTCTTGTATGTTTCTAATTATATTAAATCTCCACTGCAAAGATACAGAGATTTTAAATGAGATTAAATCTGCAAGATCCTGAGTTCCTGTAGATGACTCTACAGATGTAGAGTCTACAGAATCTGTAGATGAGTGCATCTCATCTTTGAAGAGGAGATGTTTGACATACTTGCAAATATTGGACTGACATAAACTGATTAACAAAATTCTTTTGTGAATTCTTCTCCTATGCTTATTAAAAACATAATTGTTCACATTTGAAAGAATGATGTTATGCTTAAAATGATTAAGGCAAGGTTGTATCTTGTTTTCTGGTCAGGGCATTAGTTTAGCTATCATAATCCCTGTATGGTTTAAACATGCTGACAACTGTCCCTCTTGATCAACTTGCTTAAACATTTTTCAAAACTCAGGAACTGAGAAACCTGAAATTAACAACCATTATAAGTCATAAAGAAAATAATTGCAACTAAGTAAGCAGATGCTGTAATGCTACTGGCACAAAAGTAGCAGTGGACCCAAGAAAACTAATCGTTACAAAATGAGTTGTGAGCCACAAAACGCCTGGCTGCAAATGTTGGCAGGCGTACTTCTCATAGCAACAGTTTCAGTAATGTGACCTTTCTATTACCCAGTTTCATGCTGTGTCATTTATCCGAATTATAAGAAGAGAAGTGCTTCTATCAGTACAGCTCAAGAAGGACTGATCTATCCCTTAACACGTAAGAAATGCTTTGTCAACTGTATTGTTCAATCCTTTCGGCCTCAAGTCCCATTACAGGTGCAGCTGGATAGATAATAAAACATAAAACTGTCTTTCCATGTATTTTCTCACAAATACATGGTCTACAGAACACTAAGATACAAGAATCTACTTCCTGCTCGTCCGATACGATAGACTAGGTGTTTTGAGATGGTATCAGAGTTGTAAGTAGAGCTGTCTTTTCAACAGAGCCAAGTCAGACATGCCAAAGATCTGCTTATGCTGCTAAGCAATCTCTTCCATACAAATACCCCTCCAACAGAAAAGAACCAATAATTGTATATCCTGAAAAAATGGTTTCATGGATTATTTCTGAAGTATAGTGTAGGAAAGCAAGGAGCTAACAACTTCCTTTGGCTTAATCTGCACTGCCAAGCTGTTTCCTTGTCATACTGGTTCTGGTAAATTCTGTAAACCAGGAGTGATTACAGAAAACTCGTCATGTTTATCTAAAGGACAAACAATATGCTACTTGTATGCCATCATGTGAACAGAAGCATCTTTAGCCAATTTAGGGACCTAATCCTGCTCTGAAGCACAAACCTCACACTGTGGGTGACATGAAGTAAGTGTTACACTTTTATACCGAATTCACATGAAGCAGACAATGGTAAGAGCTGCCACGCTAGGGCTTCAGATGCCAGCATCAGCCAGTTCGTGGCCTGTAACACTGGCTCTGGAGGGCTGCAGCAGTCAGTAAATTCAGTTTTCACCTACTTCTCCATGTGTGTTTAGAATAAGATTAATTTAGGTCTCAACCAAGCAAATGAAGCCAACCAGCTTCATAAAGCTCTGAATACCTATCATTACACCTCCTGTCTAGGTACAGTCATCACAGACATGTTTGGTCACCTCAGTGGAGGTGAGAAGAGGGAAAGCTGGATTCATATTTAAAGCAAACAAGTTAAAACTCCTAATTTTTGTTGTAATGAAATAATTTTGTGAGTTGAAAACATCTGCTTGAGAGCACCACCAAAAGAGAAAGAGGAAGTGTCCCTGCTCATTCCCTCCTTCTTTACAGTCTCTGAGGGCTCCCTGAGGTAGGGCAGACCACCACTCTCCTCCTGCAGATGACCACACACACACAGAGCACAAACTATAAAACCCTGTGTATGAGACAGGTTCTCCCCATGCTTGCTGGCAACTACAGAAAGCTGAATACTTCTCTAACTAGCGCTTGTCCAGGGTTGGTTTGCTAACAGTCATTTAATCTTTGTAAAATCTAGGGGTTTAAGCAGAAACACCAAATCTCTAGAACAAAATCATCTTTTCAGGCAAAGCACAGCTGATCCTCTGACAGTGAAAAGATAAGCTCAGTGGACTGTGTAACTACAACTGAACAACAAGCTGGCTAAAGGAAGGGTTTATCACAAGGTTATCACTTGTCAGCTTTGAAGGAGGCTGCTCAGCATGAAATGCTGCAGGAACTGGGTGTGCAACTACTGGCAGTTCTTAGTCCTAGGGTAGTATTTACTCTCACCACAGCCATGAAGCCTCTGAGACACTGAGGGAACTGCCTTCTGTCCATGGAAAAATTACTAAAGTAGCGAGAGGGAGACAGACTGCCTTTACGTGAGTATTAACTTTGTTCTCTGCTGGTAACAAAAGAGAGAAGTTTTTGTAACTGAAAGATATCAGAGGGGGAAAAAATGAACAGCAAACAAAAGCAACATTGGTCATTTCATTTTGGCACACATCAGGCTGCAATTCTGCTGCCAGTGTCGATGTATTACATGCTGTATAGCTATAAATTTCAGTTGTGTTTGAATAAACATCAGCATATAGAATTGCTTTGTGTCTGCCTAATGCAGTCTGTCTGCAGACAGGAGAGAATTGCTGTATTTCTCCATCTGAATAGCCCCAAAATTAAAAATGTTAGTTGTTCTCAAAGTGCACATACCTGCAATCCCTTGTAGCAGCCCACAGACATTAAAAATGCTTTTCTTCATAATACTCTGCACACACATAGTAAAGACAGACACAAATGCCACGGTACAGAGAATCATGATTCCCATGGCTAGGAAAATAGCGGTCGCCTGCCAGAACCCACTGGCAATCTCATTGAAGTTTTCAGCGTAAGGACCACAAAGCGTGTCTCGTCTAGAAAACTGCATGTGGGAGATTCTGGTGCAGCGCCCGTAGATGCCCAGAGTTGGATGGTAAGGCTCCTGCGATCCCCCTGTTCTGTTGTCCACATCCTCGGAGCTTGAAGGCTTTGCTTTCCCAATCAGCCAGTCTGCGCTCATGAAGGCAATGAGCTCCGCAAAAGCCACCACGATACTCAGGAGAGTCCATAGCATTGACCGACACGTTACAATGACATGACACATATTGATGTCCAGTGCTTGTGATCAGTGCAGCAGTCTTAAAATCCAGGCACTGGGGGGAAAAATTAAATTAAAAAAGGAAAAAAGGACCCTAAGAAAACTACTATGTCTGCTCTGGCTACTCTTTCAACTCTCTCACAAAGGCCAAGATGAAGCTTCTCAGAAGAAAAAATGAACAGCCTCAAGTTTTGCAAGCAGTGCAGTCATTTGTTCTTTCTGTTTAGTTCCTCCTTTTTTCCTTCTGGGATGCTGAGCTCTGAAATACAGTTTTCTTTCTTAATATTCATACTGGCATATGACACTGTAGGCTGGTGGGGGAGGCTGCAAGGACTGCGCACTGTTTGACATCACACACCTACAAGAAAAAAGAGAAAACACATCTGCAGTGAGAGAAAAGTCATTTCCACCTCCACAAAGAGCCAAGATCCAGCACAAATCCACATCAACATATGAAAGCTCTAACAAGGGCACATCAAACAGCTTGCTGGAAGCCTCCCTGGTTTGTCCCAGGGGAGTAATTAATCTCCCCCCCACCACTGCCGATACTGATACTTACAGTATCTGCTGTGCCCTACCCCACTGCGGGTGTTTGTCAAGCACTTTGCAAGCAAAGGTCTCAGTAACACTCAGCGGTCCCACCCATTCCTACCACCACACCCCCATCATCATCTTCTCGTCGAAATTACCAAGGGTGCTGGCAGTCATCCAGCAAAATGTTAGGACACGTTTAAGCAGTTTCACAGATGTGCAGCTCCTGCCTTCAGTTTGGGGAGGTGGCATGGCATGCCTCCGGGATGGAAGCTGGACACAGCTCCATATGCCATTAGCACCTGGGTGCAAAGGGCAATAAAGGAACCTTGTTCCAACCTTCTGGGTTTCTGCTGACGACAGCTGAGCCAACCCCGCCTCAAGAGCAGGTGAACAGGATTACAGCTGAGGACAGTCCACCCTGTGATGTGGTGACCCCTTTGAAGCCTAGATTTTGCAGGAGCAGTGCTTCTTGGGTTCTGTATCCAGGTTTCTCACACACCTCATCTTGAACTGATGCCAACGCAGGCAGCCTTTGGTTTACACCATTGTAAACAAGAATCTGTGGAAAAGTGCCCCAGTCACTGCCAAGTGTCCAAGAGCCCCACAGAGAGGGGTTGCCAGTGAGCCTTGGGCTTCCTAACTCTTCTCAATTCCGCTCTTCCACAGTTCTCTGTATGCTGTGACTGCAGCAAAATGTTCCCCAGGGCTTTCCCCAAGCCTTACTGCTGCCTTTCAACAGTAGCTGATGACATTCCCAGAGTTACACTCATCTTAGTATAAGAGGCAGAGACCATTATATTTCCAACTCCTCTCCAAATATCAGCCTCAAAATAACAAAAGGGTCATTGCACATGCCTCTGTGCTTGAATTGAAACAGAGTCACCCGAAAGCAAGGGTGGGAGCAGGAAATGCCCTCATGTTACCCCTTCCATGGTGAGAACATAAGGCTTCCAAGTTTTCCTCATAAAACCCAAAATACCAACATTGAACTGGAGGCAAGAGAGTCAAGAAGCAGATCCGGACCTCACTGCTGCCCTGCTGCCAAATGCTAAGTGGTCAGCAGATGCCAGGAAAACAGACATCCCCAATATTTTTTTAGCTTTGTCATGAGGTTGGTATTTAATTTCTTAGGAGTTTTGAGTCCAGCGGCTGAATACTAGTCCCACTGAATGCAAAATGAAACACACACCCACAACTTCACACATTCAGAATTTCATCCAGCAATTTCTACTCCCTCCTGTACTAGTAGTAATGAATCATCTAGATCTGCAGGTTCCCTTGCTATAAAGGGCTGTAAAGGGGAATTTGTCTCCCTCAGTTCAGTTTTATGGCATTGCCTCAAAAAAAGGCAAAACATATTTAATTGTGCTTTTAGACATACTGAGATAACGGTTCAGCTAATTTTCTGTTTTTTGGAGGGAAAGTGCCAAAAAAAAAGTTAATTTGCTCAGTATTTCCACTTTAAATAATGACTGGAATGTACAAAATGTCCACTACAAATCTACATACTTCTGATATCATCTGCATGATTAAAGAGAATTTAATTGAAAATGTCTTTATTTTTTTAAGAGATTCTCCAAAAAGCTCTAAAATCTGGTTTTCTCCGCAAGAACTACATCCATTCCTCATCTTTGTAATTCCAGGATTTTAACTGAGGTGCAAGGGATATGAGAGCTCAACATCCGTCATAGCTGTTACTGCCTACTCTGTACCTGCTGAATGATAAATACTGTTTATTGAACACAGATGAGAACAAAGTTCATATTTACATAGGTAGGTGGAAATTCCAGATGAACACTGGCAGTCATAAAAGCATGTCACTCATGAGATCTTATACTAAAAGAAAAGACCAAACCATAGGGTTCTTTTCCAATTGAAACATAAGTGCAGGAATAAGTTGCATCAACATTTTAAAACACAGTATCTCCAGAAAAGTCACTGCATAAGCAAAACAGCCTGTCTAAAGGTGATGCATATTAAATCTAAGGGTCATGTTAAATCTTAGGAATTCATTGGAGCATATACTTCCCTGTTGTGCAACACAGGGAAACTTTGCAGGATCTAAAAGTTAGTTAGTAGATGTCATTGAGAACTATAGTTCAGTACAGAACTGAATATATTTTGGTTTTCATTAAAACCTTCACAATTGGGCTTTTCCCAAGCAATGAGTATTTTATTCTGGTGCAAACATATGCAGAGCAATGTACTCTTACTCATGCGAGAACTGCTGCATAAGTTTATTCTTTCACTAGTGATGCCCTGAAATGAGATAACCATTCACCTATAACTCCTTTTTGTTAGCAGACAGACAAAAACTTATAAAGCAGGATGGTGAACCCAGAGGATGGGCAGAGGCACTTGTTTCTGAGATCTAGTAAGGAAAGATTGCAGATAGAGTACTGGAGAAAAGTTACAGTTCAGTCACATTTATGCAGTTAACCTTTTCCTTCCAACAACCTCCTTCCCCCACCTTGGCTTTCCCGATGAACCTAACCAACCACCCCATGGCTCCAACAACATGTTTGTGTCATTCCTGGAAGCCTTTCCAGCAACAGGCTGCGCTGAACATCTGTGCTTCATGAAACCTCACTCCAGCACTCTGCTCACCCCCTTTTTTTTTTCATTTTTGCTCAACAGAAACTCAAGCTAGGCCCTTGCAAGGGTAAAAACTGGCTGTTTATTCTTCCACTCAGTTTCCCATCCCTTAACAAGTTTTTTCCATAACAGAACTGTATGTTCTTCACAGCAGGCCCCTCAATATCCATTTCTGACCGACTGTCAAAATATTTGCTTTGACAACCCAAATTTGATATATACAATGGTTCTTTAACCCTTTTGGTATTAACTCTTGCTGAAGAAGCGGACTACAAAAAGTAGCCCCACCTCTTAGCCATTTGGGCCCCCCCTTATTTTTACTGTTGCATTCAATTGCACAGGAGAGAAAGGAGGCCATCCATGCCAGGAAGCAAGGGTCCCAGGAGAGAAACAGCCCTGCACAGCAAATGCCCACATGAGCTGCACACCATGGCAGCACAACGGTCTTGGCAGAGCCATCCTGCCCCACCATATAACCCACCATCCCTTGCCTGGACAGCACAGCTCTTGGATGGGTCAAACCTATAACCTTCAGCCTCATTTACTTGGCTACTGCAACCATGCTCATGGTAAGACTCTGCATGAAGTGAAGTCTAACACAGTGAAAAGATGTTAGCGAGAACATCAGATCATCACAGCATCCAGAGAGAATACAACTGAAGTTCTCAAATGCAAAAATCTTTTGGTTGTTTTAATCTAACAAAACCAACCATCTTAAAACATCTTTAAAACTTACTTTCTCTTCAGATGCAATTTTGACAGCCAGATACACTGCCTCTAGTTGTACTTTCACATCTCTAGTGAGGACTGTTCAGCTGTTGCCTTTTACTACACAATGTTCCTACATACAAAGTATATAAACAACATCTATTTTTCTGAACTAGATAAAGAAACACACTTGTCTCCATTTTGCTTACACTGCCAAAACCAGAAAGCTGATCCAAATTACAATATTTGAATTAAGGTTTTGATTTTAGAGATGTTGAGCTGCAGGACTTTGCTTTGGCATACCAGGCAGATAGGAAGGAACAGCTGCAAAGTTCAAATCTAAGTCAATCACATACCATGGCTGTTTATTTTAAAAAGGTGTCCGACAAGCAATGTAGAAGAGAACCACAAGTACCTTCCAGAACAATGTCATGGTCAGTCCTTCATGCTCCCCTTATGATTTGACTTAAGACAGAGGCTCAGACTAAAACCTATGATTCAGCTTTCACCCTTTCCAGCCTAGTTCTCTCAGCTCAAGAGTGAGAATAAATCATCTTTAGATAAGTGGCTTTTGGCTTGACTTAAGCAAACAGCTGAATGGAAGGCCACACAGACTGCTGAAGCCGTCCCGGTTTATAAAATAAATCCAGGCACAGTTAGACATTTTCTTCTAAAGCTTGGTGAGGTCCAAAGCACCACTACATAGAGGAATTTCTAAACCTTGTTTACAATACACAAGCTCGAGCACCTCATATTGCAAAATGTGCAAATCTTGGAAGCCTGGGATCTGCTTTCTCTAAAACTGTTCATTAGCAGTTATAAACTCTCTGAAAATGCTTTGAACTGTGAGAGTGTAAGGGGCTCCTATTTGTGTTGATGTTTGCAGACTGCTTGTTTAAAACAAACAGAAAGAGGCTCACACACTAAGACTCAATTACCTCAAGCTGACCCTCACCCAGGTCCACACGAGCAGCTTTCATCCATGAGTGTTGCTGGACAAGCAAGCTGGTCAACTGTGAGCTTACCCTGCCTGGCAGAGTGAACCAACCATCAAACCATAGACACAGGAGGGACTACACTTAAGACAATGTGGTATGAGCATTAGAGATTACTCATTTTCTGGGTGAGTGATAAATGTGGGTAAATAAACTTCTCCTCCCATTTGGTCCTCTCACCATTCTTCCAGGAGCTGCCGTTCAGGAGGAGATGGCAGGATTCTGCCAACTTCCATGCAGTCTTCAAAGCAGTGGACTAGACAACAAGCAGCATTTCTCAGGAGATAGAACCATGAACACCAACTCACCTCGCTAAAGGTACACCTCTGCATTTCTATCCACACACACCTAGGGGTGACTTGCAAATGTAAGAAAAGGTATATTCATCACATTACCCTATCACAAGAGAACAGGTACAAGGTTTAATACTTAAGGAAGGACCAGTTGTCCCAAAAGGTTTGGTGTAGGCTTTCCCTGCAGAACGCAAGGAGCTCAGCTGGCACTGGTTTCTGGTAAGCAGTGCATA